TGGGTTCAAGTGATTCTCCTGCCTCAGCCTCCTCAGTAGCTGGAATTACAGGCATGCACCATTACACCTGGCTAATTTTTTTTGTATTTTTAGCAGAGACAGGGTTTTGCCACGTTGGCAGGCTGGTCTCGAACTCCTGACCTCAAGTGATCCGCATGCCTTGGCATCCCAAAATGCTGGGATTGCAGGCTAATTTTTGTATTTTTTAGTACAGGGTTTTGTCTTGTTGCCGAGGCTGATATCAAACTCCTTGAGCTCATGCGATCTGCCTGCCTCAGCCTCCCAAAGTGCTGGGATTACAGGTGTGAGCCACCGTGCCAGGCGATTATAGAAGTCTTAACACGGTGTACGGCACAGGTAAACATTTGCTAACAGGACAGTCTCTAGAATTTGTTGGAGGTATTGGTCTGATAGGATTATTTGGGAGCTGGGCTGGTGCCTCAGGCCCTGGAAGGTAATTCTTTAAGGGAATCTATGGATGAGTGTCAAGTATTCTGTTGGGATTGCATCATTTGACTGGATGGGGAGGCACCTGAAGGTTGGTTCCACGTGGCTGTGGCTAAACTGACATTAGAATCTATACACCTGACCGGGTGAGGTGGCTCACCCCTGTAATCCCAGCACTTTGGGAAGGCAAGGTGGGTGGATCACCTGAGGTCAGGAGTTTGAGACCAGCCTGGCCAATATGGTGAAACCCCATCTCTACTAAAAATACAAAAAATTAGTCTGGCATGGTGGCGGGCGCCTGTAATCCCAGCTGCTCCGGAGGCTGAGGTAGGAGAATTGCTTCAACCCCGGAGGCGGAAGTTGAAGTGAGCCGAGGTCGCACCATTGCACTCCAGACTGGGCAACAAGAGCAAAACTCCATCTCAAAAAAAAAAAAAAAAAAAAAAGAATCTCTACACCTGAATAATAAGAGCTAAAGTTGAAGCTAAGGAGTGGTTGGGCACAGTGGCTCACGCCTGTAATCCCAGCGCTTTGGGAGGCTGAGGTGGGCAGATCACTTGAGGTCAGGAGTTCGAGACCAGCCTGGCCAACATGGTGAAACCCCGTCTCTACTAAAAATACAAAAATCAGTTGGGTATGGTAGCACAGGCCTGTAATCTCAGCTACTAGGGAGACTGAGGCAGGAGAATTGCTTGAACCCAGGGGGCTGAGGTCACGCCACTGCACTCTAGCCTGGGCGACAGAGCAAGGCTCTGGCTCAAAACAAACAAACCAAACCTGAGGAATTAGTAATGGATCTCAGAATGAAATCAGGGAGCACAGAACCTGTGGTAAGGTTCTGAAAACTGAAAACTTTGTAACTTTTTCATGTGTGCTCATTTGCTCAATTTTCTCCTGCAGGTTTTTCTATTACGGTTACCAGCACTTTGCAATGTCCTGGCCCCATGAGGCTAAATGCTTTATCGGCTTTGTTTCATTTAGTGTTGTATTATTAGCCCCATGTTACAGGGGAGAAAATGGAGGCTCAGAGAGGTTAAGTAAGTGATTTCTTGTCTGGCTCAAGAGCTGGATTTCCGAATACAACATCCTATGGGGTTGTTGAATTTGAGTGTGGACACTTTTTTTTTTTTTGGAAATAAGGTCTCATTCTGTCACCCAGGCTGGAGTTCAGTGGTGTGATTACTGCTCACTATAACATCAAACTACTGGGCTCAAGCAATCCTCCCACCTTGGCCTCCCAAAATGCTGGGATTACAGACGTGCATCATCGCACTGGCCCACACTCTCAGTAGCTGTTAAATTCATTCCTTTTTAAATAAGCAGTTAGTGTATGCCCTGCACTAAGTTGAGGATTCAGAAGTGAATACAACTCCACATCTACAACCAAACAGCTATATTTACTTATTATTATTATTTTTGAGACAGAGTCTCACTCTGTTGCCCAGGCTGGAGTGCAGTGGTGCGATCTTGGCTCATTGTAACCTCCACCTCCCGGGTTCAAGTGATTCTCCTACTTCAGCCTCCTGAGTAGCTAGGATTAAAGGCGCCTGCCACCATGCCTGGCTAATTTTTGTATTTTTAGTAGAGACGGGGTTTTGCTATGTTGGCCAGGCTGGTCTTGAATTCTTGACCTCAGGTGATCTGCCCACCTTGGCCTCCCAAAGTGCTGGTATTATAGGCATGAGCCACTGCGCCCAGCTCCAAACAGCTATATTTATTGAGTACTAATTTTGTATCAGGGCCAGGCGTGGTGGCTCAAGCCTGTAATCCTAGCACTTTGGGAGGTCAAGGTGGTAGGATTGCTTGAGCACAGGATTTCAAGACCAGCCTGGGAACCATGGGGAAACCTCATCTCTATTCTTTAAATAATAATAATAATAATAATAATTCTGTATCAGATACTTTTTTTTTTTTTTCCTTGAGAGGGAGTCTGGCTATATGGCCTAGGGTGGTCTCAAACTCCTGGTCAAGAGATCTTACTTCTTCAGTTTCTGGAATAACCGGGATTACTGATGTGAGTCACTGCACCTGGCTGTATCAGCCACTACTGTGTGTTAGTTAATTTAACCATCGTAACGTGCGAGAAGAGTATAGATATCCTCATCTAACAGATGAGGGAACTGGACTCATGCTCCCAAGGTCACACTGCTAGAAAATAGGAAACCTCACATCTTTAACTTCCAGCTCATTCAGAGATTAAAATCTCTCTCTTCTATTTTTTTAAACAAAAGTCACATTCTGTTTTTTTAAAGTAAAGATAGGTCGGGCGTGGTGGCTCCTGCCTGTAATCCCAGCACTCTGGGATGCCGAGGCAGGTGGATCACTTGGGGTCAGGAGTTCAAGACCAGCCTGACCAACACGGCGAAACCCCGTCTCTACTAAAAAATAGGAAAACTAGCTGGGTGTGGTGGTGCACGCCTGTAATCCCAGCTACTCAGGAGGCTGAGGCAGAAGAATCGCTTAAACCCGGGAGGCGGAGGTTGCATTGAGCCAAGATTGTGCTACTGCACTCCAGCCTGGGTGACAGAGCAAGACTCCATCACAAAAAAAATAAATTAAAATAAATAAATAAATAAAGATAATACATACTCAAACAATGTAAACAACATGGGTACTGATTTTCTTATACACTTGTAGAAACACTATGTTAATAATCATTTTAATTTTGGCCAGTGTGTTTAATAGATGAAAATATTATACTTTAAAGTTGCATTTTTTATTAGTTATTTTTTCTCACCTTTTACAGCTTTGAGATATATTTCTTTTTCTTTTCTTTCTTTCATTCTTTTTATTTTTTGAGACGGAACTTTGCTCTGTCGCCAGGCTGGAATCCAGTGGCAAGATCTCATCTCACTGCAACCTCTGCCTCCCAGGCTCAAGTGATTCTCCTGCCTCAGCCTCCTAAGTAGCTGGCACTACAGGTGTGTGCCACCATGCCCAGCTAATTTTTGTATTTTTAGTAGAGGCAGGGTTTCACCATGTTGGCCAGGATGTTCTCGGTCTCGTGACCTCATGATCCACTTGCCTCTGCCTCCCAAATTGCTGGGATTACAGGCATGAGTTACCATGCCCAGCTGATATATATTTCATATACCATAAAACTCACTTTTATTTTATTTTATTTTATTTTATTTTATTTTATTTTATTTTACTTTTTCTTGAGATGGAGTCTCACTCTGTCACCAGGCTGGAGTGGAGTGGCACAATCTCAGCTCACTGCAACCTCCGCCTCCTGGGTTCGAGTGATTCTCCTGCCTCAGCCTCCCGAGTAGCTGGGACTACAGGCGCCCGCCACCATGCCCGGCTAATTTTTTTGTACTTTTAATAGAGATGGGGTTTCACCATGTTGGCCAGGATGGTCTCGATCTCTTGCCCTCTTAATCCACCCACCTTGGCCTCCCAAAGTGCTGGGATTATAGGCGTGAGCCACTGCGCCCGGCTGTGCATTGCAAACATTTTTTAGCCATTTGTTCTAGTTTGTTGATGGCATCTCTTCCTGTACAGATGTTTATATTTCTTTCAATCGTTTCTTTTGTGATCTTTTGATTTTGATTCATGAGTATAAACATTTTCCCTCCTCCAATTATAGAGCTTCCCCCCATATCTTCTTCTGGTCTTTTACAGCATTGTGATTTGTCTGTTTTCAATCTATTTTGAGTTTAGTTTGAGATAGTATGATCAAAGGCCGGGCACGGTGGCCCACGCCTGTAATCCCAGGACTTTGGAGGGCTGAGGCGGGCGGATCTCCTGAAGTCCGGAGTTTGAGATCAGCCTGACCAACATGGAGAAACCCTGTCTCTACTAAAAATACAAAATTAGCCGGGGGTGGTGGTGCATGCCTCTAATCCCAGCTACTAGGGAGGCTGAGGCGGGAGAATCGCTTGAACCCAAGTGGAGGTTGCAGTAAGCCGAGATCACGCCATTGCACTCCAGCCTGGGCAACAATGAACGAAACCCCGTCTCAAAAAATAATACTAAAAAAGAGATAGTATGACTATATCTTAACAAATACGAGTGATTTGAAAAGTCACTTTCATCAAGTGGCCAAATTTCCATTGATATTCGAAACTGGATAGAATAACAGCTAACATTAACATTCAGTGCTTACAAGCAGGGCAGTTTCATGTTCTTGGTTTAATGTTGTGGTGTTGCCATCTTGAAATTCGTAATAGTATTTGAACAAGGGACCCCGCATTTTTCATTCTGCACCGCACCTCGTCCTGTATGTTGTGGGACCGCTTACCAGGTCCAGGCACTGTACTAAGTACTTGACATACATTATTCCACTTAATCCTCCAGGCCATTCTGTTAAGTGGGGGTTACTTTCTTCTTCATTGTACAAATGTGGAAATGGAGGCAGGTCGATTTAAATAAGGCCACAGAGCTAGAAAGTTGCAGAGAAGGGGTTTGAACCCTGAACCTCCAGGGCCAGCGCCGTGCGGGTGACCGTCCGCGAACCCTGCAGGCTGTGGTGCTCGGGGACGAGCTTGAGAGGGCGCGGCGGGCGCAGGGTGCGCGTCCGAGACTCGGTCGAGCGTCACCTGCGCGACCCCGCGTGCCCAGCTCCGGGCCGTGTTCTCCCAGGTGCGGGCCGGCAGGACCCCGCCTTAGGCCCTGGCGGCGCGCGCTCGCCTAGCGGGCGGGCACTCGCGCGCAGCGTTTGTGTTGCCTGAGAGTTTCCCGAGTTCACACAGGCCCTGGGTTGGCATGGCAACCAGGCAACCTGTTCCAGAGCCGCCAGCCTTCTCCGCACATGCCGCCGCCACCGCCGGGGCCGGGGCCGGAGCCTATCCCAGGATGCACCGCGCCAGCCCAGTCCCCAGTGGGCCGCCATGTTGTCGGAGTGAAAGGTAAGGGGGAGCGAGAGCGCCGGAGAGAGAAGATCGGGGGGCTGAAATCCATCTTCATCCTACCGCTCCGCCCGTGAGTATCCGCACCCCACCGGCCCCAAACGCTGCTCCGGACCCCTAGCGAGCAGATTGTCCCTTCGTATTGGTGTTTGAGAGCGGTTGTGGGGGTGAGAAGGGCTTTGGAAAAGCCGCCGGGGCCCTGGCTGAGGCTTCTCACTCGCTGTTCCTCGTACATGTTTTGGAGTCAGCAGCAAGGCCCCTATTGTTATCAAAGGAGGGAGGGGGTGGGGAGCGGGGTCCAAGCTCGGAAAATGCTGGGGATTTAGGCCCGAGCCCAGGGCGTAGACGTGCCTCTACATTTTTTGCCTGGCCCTGTTGGGAACCACCGAAGATTGATGTTGCTATTCGGGTTTCTTTTTTTGATGGGTTTGCGAAGCCCCGAGTCTTCTGTGTGGCCATGGAGTGTAATTCTGTGCCACCCCGATTTCTTCGACTTCTTGAGCTTCCGTGGCAGCGCCGGTGGAGGAGGAACAATAAATCGCTTTAGAAGCAGCCGTGGCCCTTGTCCACAGGCGAGATTCACCGTGGGGGAACTTTGCGAGCCTTAAATGTGGAGAAGTGGCGATCAGGAAGTTTCAGAATGCTTTTTAGGCTCCTGGGTGCTGTGGCCTTTTGTTTCCGTGTGAGCTTGTGTTTTTGGTGGGTTCTTCCTCTTTGAGCCTCCCCGTGTTGGTGTATCTCTTAACTCAAAGAGGGGTTCACCCCTTGCTTGTAGGAAAATCTAGATACACAATACTAGATAGTTTTAGTCCTCACAAACGTGCTTGGTAAACATAGGTCATTTGTTTTACTTGTCAGTACCATTCCCACGTCAAGCGAGGAATACACTCCTGTAACTTTTCCCTCCTATAGCACCCCCCCGCCCCCGCCGAAAAAACAAAGCCAGAAACCCACACACAGCATTACCAGAGAAGGCTTTATCCTCCCGTAACTCTTAAAGGATTGTTACCTTTTATTGTTCAATTAAGAAAACACTGTTCTCAGCCCTCGATACCATTTTGCTCAATTCCTGTTATTACTGGGATTAATTAAGAATAAGATTTTATGAAGCTTTTCCTGGGTTCTGTTTTAAAGTCAGTTAACTTCTGAAACAATAGGCTTAGCATCTTGTTTTTTGAAAGCACCTAAAAACTTACCAGGACAGGCCAACCCTCAAGAAATGTAGCTTCCGATGCAGTTTTCGTAAGCAAAATAAACATTTTGACCCATTGCTAATTTTAACTTTATAAAACACTCGGGGGCTGTTGATTCTTTATCTGAGCTCTTTGGAAACGCTCTCCGGATTCTGAACTTTGAGTTAGTGTTTTGCTTTAGCCACAATTCATTTTGTTCAAGGCCACAGCTTTTTGAAGTTGGAATTTGTTTAGGTTTGAGATGAACTGCTTTAAAATAAATTTATGACCACAGAATATTTGTTAAGTGTGGTAAAAATAAACACCTTTTAAACCACTAAGCATTTTAGTAAAAGGTGAGCCATGGAAATAGATTGAACCGTGTTCCTTTGAATTCAACTCAATTAGTGATATTTTTAAAAACTTTGTAAACACTTGAAAGCTGAAAGAGTAGCTAGACTGAGCGCTGCTAGTTGCTTGAAGTACTTATAAGAAGTCATTTGTTAAAAAAAATCACATTTTAAATGCTACACCTAAGTTTTTAGTGAGCTTTTCTGATATTTAGGATACTGAGTTTTTAATTTTTGTGCCGTATTTGCCGAAATATTACAAAACTACCCTAGATACATGTTAATTGCTTAGGTATTTGCTCACTTTAAATTGTCCTGCCGGGTTTTCTCTCGTTTGAGAAACTGCCTTGCCTCTTTAGGTAAAGCAGGAAGTCTTAGGGCATACAGATAGCTTTACAAAAGCCAATTGTTTTGTTTGAACGTTTTTATAGGAGTCTTTCCTTCCCCCCATTCCTTTTAGAATGAAGTTGTGTTTAGTGTGCTTCAGTGATAAACTCCTCTTTTATGTGGATATCTTTGTTAGATAACTATTGTTTCTTTTAAAATTTTTTATTTGTATAATTTGTGAGGTTCAAGTGTAATTTTTACTTGGGTGTATTGCGTAGTGGTGAAGTCAGGACTTTTTGTGGGTCCATCACTGGAATACTGTACATTGTCCTCCTTAGGTAATCTCATTATCCTTCTCTCACCCTCCTAGATAACTATTTTGAGAAGGCTTTTTATTTCAGAAAAGATTGCTTTTGCTGTTTTAGGAATTCTGTTAGGGACTGGAGTTCCATTGCCTTAACTAAATTCTAAGACTCTTAAGCACGATGACTTTAAATTTACCAAAAACTTTTACATTTATCTCATTTTGATTAAGAAAAACCCAAAACATTGAGAGTCATAGAGGAAGGATTTCTTTCATTTTCTAGAGGAGGAAACAGGTTGTTGGTTTAGTGGCAGAACTTAGGTTTTGGAACCCGTGGCCTGCTCTAGAACAAAGATTGTTAGATCGAGATTTCCTTTTAGAACAAAATGGGACCGTCTAGTATTGGTACTGAGAGAGTAATGAATTCTTTAAAAAACCAAGCAGGGAGGCATTAGGCTGGTTTGCATTTTTGAAAGACCGATGGTGAAACAGGGCTATGACTTTTTGGTTTTGGTACTTGAGCATGGATTAGTGTCTAGGTTAGGCTACTCTAGAACCCTGCTAAGGTTCTGATGAATTGGAATTCTTAAGCTAGACTAGGCATTTCCAAATTAGGCTTTAAACAAATTACAAATTCCATTGTGTCTTCTTAGGCTGGCTTCAGAACATGAATTTACTTGTGAGAAGCAAATGCTACTTTATCAGGTTTATTTATGCAACAGAGAGATAGTAGATTTGTTATAAATTTGTATTTGAAGCATTGCAGTGGGAGTTGGGAGGAGAGATAAGGCATTTGTAGCAGTAGACTGTTAGGCTGATGGCTTTGAAATTAGACTGGTGGCTGTGGACAGGTATGTCCTAATTGGTAACTGATTTATTTACTCTGTAGGTTTTTTTTTTTTTTTTTTTTTTTTTTTTTTTTTTTAAAGATGGAGTCTCACTCTGTTGCCCAGGCTGGAGTGCAGTGGCTGGATCTCAGCTCACTGCAACCTCCGCCTCCCGGGTTGAAGCGATTCTTCTGCCTCAGCCTCCCGAGTAGCTGGGACTACAGGCACGTGCCACCACACCTGGCTAATTTTTATATTTTTAGTAGAAACAGGGTTTCAGCATATAGGCCAGGCTGGTCTCGAATTCTGACCTTGTGATGTGCCTGCCTCCGCCTCCCAAAGTGCTGGGATTACCAGCATAAGCCACTGTGCCCACTTTGTAGCATTTTTTAAAAGCACCCACAGGCTGGTAAGTGTTCTATCTTAAATACAGATGTCGTTTTTGATTTTCAGTAACTTTAACGTTTCATAGTAACATTTCAGGGATTCTTTGTTGGTCTTCCAGAGGATACAAGTGAGAGATACTGTTGAGTTACTCCTGCAAGGGGTTAGTAGAAATAAGTAAGCTTGGGAACAGAACAGATTAGGGTTTGAATCCTTTCTCCGATACTTGCTAATTGAATGGCCTTGGACACACCACATTTTCCTCCTGTACCTTAGTGTTTTCATTTGTAAAATAGAAATAATAATGGCTACCTTTCAGTGCTTTTGTGATGAGACAATGTCTGCGATATATTTGTTACACTATTACCGTGTTGAAGCTTCTGTTTTTTGTTTGTTTTTGAGACAGGATCTCACTCTTGCCCTAGCAGGTGTGCAACCTCCCACTCCTGGGCTCAAATGATCTACTCACCTAAGCCTCCCGAGTAGCTGGGACTATAGGCACATGCCACCAGGCCTGGCTAATTATTTTTAGTAGAGATAGGTCTTGCTATGTTGCTCAGGCTGGTCTTGAACTCCTGGGCTCAAGCTATCTGCCCACCTCAACCTCCCAAAGTGCTGGGATTGTAGGTGTGAGCCACCACACCCAGCTGAGGCTTCTGGTTTTTATAGTGAGGCTTTCTTTTTTTTTTAATAATTAAAAATTTATTTATTTTATTTTATTTGTCTTTTTTTGAGACAGAGTCTCGCTGTGTCGCCCAGACTGGAGTGCAGTGGCACGATCTCGGCTCACTGCAACCTCCACCTCCCTGGTTCAAGTGGTTCTCCTGCCTCAGCCTCCTGAGTAGCTGGGATTACAGGTGTGTGCCACCATGCCTGGCTAATTTTTGTGGTTTTTTTTTTTTTTTTTTTTTTTTGAGACGGAGTCTGGCTCTGTCGCCCAGGCTGGAGTGCAGTAGCCGGATCTCAGCTCACTGCAAGCTCCGCCTCCCGGGTTTACGCCATTCTCCTGCCTCAGCCTCCGGAGTAGCTGGGACTACAGGCGCCCGCCACCTCGCCCGGCTAGTTTTTTGTATTTTTAGTAGAGACGGGGTTTCACCGTGTTCGCCAGGATGGTCTCGATCTCCTGACCTCGTGATCCGCCCGTCTCGGCCTCCCAAAGTGCTGGAATTACAGGCTTGAGCCACCGCGCCCGGCCAATTTTTGTGTTTTTAGTAGAGACAGGGTTTCACCATGTTAGCCAGGATGGTCTCGATCTCCTGACCTCATGATCTGCCTGCCTCAGCCTCCCAAAGTGCTGGGATTACAGGCATAAGCCACCGTGCCCGGCCTCTTAGAGCCTTATTTCTTAGAGCTGGCCTTCTTAGAGCCTTATTTCTTAATAAAGCAATAGAGATGGGGGTCTCACTGTGTTGCCCAGGCTGGTCTTCAGCTTCTGGCTCAAGCGATTCTCCCTGCCTAAGTCTCCAAGGGTGCTGGGATGACAGGAGTGAGCCACCGTGCCCAGCCTGTAGTGAGGCTTTCTATACTAATATAAAGTGTTTAAATTTGGTTTGGTCTCATCCTGTTTATAGTAGTTGAAGTACTAATGGCATAATGCGATTACAAATAATAGTTGTAAGTTACTGGTAAAAATATTGATGCTTTTAAAAATCAGTAACAACTGAGGAGAGGGCTTAGGCTAAGAGCATTCTGCTGCTGTTCTTGGTCAGAGGGTCTTACTGTTTCTTTAAGGAGTATCCTATCAATATATTGGAGGTTTTTTCTTTTTTTTTAATGAGATAGAGTCTTGATTTGTCGCCCAGGCTGGAGTGCAGTGGTGCGAATTTGGCTCACTGCAACCTCCGCCTCCCGAGTTGAAATGATTCTCTTGCCTCAGCCTCCCAAGTAGCTGGGAAGTGTATACCACCACACCCAGCTAACTTTTGTATTTCCAGTAGAGATGGGGTTTCATAATGTTGGCCATGCTGGTCTCGTACTCCTGACCTCAAGTAATATACCCGCCTTGGCCTCCAAAGTGTTGGGATTATAGGCGTGAGCCACCTCACCTGGCCAATGTGTTGGACCCTTTTTTTTTTTTTTTTTTGAGACGGAGTCTCGCTCTGTCGCCCAGGCTGGAGTGCAGTGGCCGGATCTCAGCTCACTGCAGGCTCCGCCTCCCTGGTTTATGCCATTCTCCTGCCTCAGCCTCCTGAGTAGCTGGGACTACAGGCGCCCGCCACTTTGCCCGGCTAGTTTTTTGTATTTTTTAGTAGAGATGGGGTTTCACCATGTTAGCCAGGATAGTCTCAATCTCCTGACCTTGTGATTTGCCTGTCTCGGCCTCCCAAAGTGCTGGGATTACAGGCTTGAGCCACCGCGCCTGGCCAATATGTTGGACACTTTAAGGGATCCTTTCAAATTAGACAAGCTGAGCCACAATGCTAATTATATATGGGTTTAGGCTTTTGTTTACTTATTAGCATATGTCTGCTCCAGCTGTAAAGTTGTGATTTATTTATTTATTTATTTATTTAATTTATTTTTTGAGACAGAGTCTCACTCTGTCGCCCAGGCTCGAGTGCAGTGGCGCGATCTCGGCTCACTGCAACCTTTGCCTCCTGGATTCAAGCCATTCTCCTGCCTCAGCCTCCGGAGTAGCTGGGATTATAGGCACCCAGCATCATGCCTGGCTGATTTTTATATTTTTAGTAGAGATGGGGTTTCACCATGTTGGCCAGACTGGTCTCGAACTCCTGACGTCAGGTGATCCACCCACCTCGGCCTCCCAAAGTGCTGGGATTACAGGCATGAGCCAGCACACCCAGCCGAAGTTGTGATAGTTTTAAAAAGGCTTTTGGGGCTGGGCGCGGTGGCTCACACCTGTAATCTCAGCACTTTGGGAGGCCGAGGCGGGCAGATCACCTGAGGTTGGGAGTTCAAGACCAGCCTGGCTGACATGATTAAACCCGTCTCTACTAAAAATACAAAAAATTAGCCGACCGTGGTGGTGGGTGCCTGTAGTACCAGCTACTCCGGAGGCTGAGGCAGAAGAATCGCTTGAATCTAGGAGGCGGAGGTCGCAGTGAGCTGAGATCGCGTCATTGCACCTCAGCCTGGGCAACAAGGGCAAAACTCTGTCTCAAAAAAAAAAAAAAAAGCTTTTGTTAATTTAGAAACTGTCAGTTGGTTTGAGGTATAAATAAGTTGGGTAGATTGATAGAAGTCTAACATGTTGGTTAACAACATAAACTTCCCTGAAGTTATAATATTGAGTTCTAATCTCAATACCGTGCCAGAGTGCATGCCACTAATGATATTTATTTATTGCAAAAGATGTGGGGTTCATGTTTTTATCTTGGTGTATTTTATGTTTCAAGAGATGCAAATATTAAACATTTGTAACCTATTTGTCCTTAGGTGTTGGTGGAATGAGCGTTGCATGTGTCTTGAAGAGAAAAGCAGTGCTTTGGCAGGACTCTTTCAGCCCCCACCTGAAACATCACCCTCAAGAACCAGCTAATCCCAACATGCCTGTTGTTTTGACATCTGGAACAGGGTCGCAAGCGCAGCCACAACCAGCTGCAAATCAGGCTCTTGCAGCTGGGACTCACTCCAGCCCTGTCCCAGGATCCATAGGAGTTGCAGGCCGTTCCCAGGACGACGCTATGGTGGACTACTTCTTTCAGAGGCAGCATGGTGAGCAGCTTGGGGGAGGAGGAAGTGGAGGAGGCGGCTATAATAATAGCAAACATCGATGGCCTACTGGGGATAACATTCATGCAGAGCATCAGGTAAAAAAAAGTTCACTATTTCAGCTTTGGCATTCCTTTATAATCACTGTCCACTTAGGATATCTGCTTTCAATGAATGTCTTTAAAAACTTAAATTGCTAATTTCATTTGGTACAAACAGTTACTTGTTTTAAAGGTTGATCGTTGTAATACTGTTACTGGGTCATTTATCATTCTGGTGCTAAATAGTAAATAGCCACTTCATTCATTCATTCGAGATGGAGTCTCGCTCTGTCACCCAGGCTGGAATGCAGTCCAGTCTCGGCTCACTGCATCCGCTGCCTCCCAGGTTCAAGCAATTCTCCTGCCTCAGCCTCCTGAGTAGCTGGGACTACAGGCGTGCACCACCACGCCTGGCTGATTTTGTATTTTCAGTAGAAACGGGGTTTCACCATGTTGGCCAGGCTGGCCTTGAACTCCTGACCTCAAGTGATCTGCCGGCTTCGGCCTCCCAAAGTGCTGGGACTACAGTTGTGAGCCACCCACGCCTGGCCTATACAATGCATTTTTAAGAACACTTTTTTGGAACAAAGGATACTTTTTTTTACTATTGATACAAGAACTGCTGGGGTTGTTTATAGGACAGATACATATTTTTGAATCTTTTCTCTTGGGTGTGGGTGACTTGATTTTAAGATGTTGTAGTTGAAAGTAGGGGAAGTTGATAACATCAGCTGCTCAAGTGAAATTTATTTGAAATGCGACTGATATATTGTGTCAGAGAGCAGTGGTTGTGGCTTTTAGGTTTTAACCACCTTTGTCCTCTTGTTATTGTTTAGTTTTTAATTTTAGCATGTTTAGTCTTATAAATCTAAAACCAAAGTGGGAATCATAGCATATTTTACTGAGAAGAGAGGTTAGCCTGATCATGTTTCCTGACTTCTTGATAGTGACCAACTAAAAGATTATAGACTGTTTTGATCAGGGTACTCTCTGAAATTGGGTATAGGTTGAATTTGGAAAGGTTCATTTTGTGTCACCCATCTGAGTACTGATTAGTGAGAACTGACATTTTTCATTAGGACTCTAATCCTTCTGTTTTACTTCAGAAAAAATCAGGTACAAACATACCTGCAAGTCTGAATTTATTATACTTCCTCTGAACCCCCCAAAAGTGAACCATAGTTTTTTCTCTTTTTTTTTTTTTTTTTTTTGAGACGGAGTCTCGCTCTGTCACCCAGTCTGGAGTGCAGTGGCGCCATCTCAGCTCACTGCAGCTTCACCGTCCCAGGTTGAAGCAGTTCTCCTGCCTCACCCTCCCGAGTGAGATTACAGACACCCACCTCCATGCCTGGCTAATTTTTGTATTTTTAGTAGAGAGGGGGTTTCACCATGTTGGCCAGTCTGGTCTTGAACTCCTGAGTTCAAGTGGTCCACCTGCCTCGGCCTCCCAAAGTGCTGGGATTACAGGTGTGAGCCACCGCGCCCAGCTTTTTTTTTTTTTTTTTTTTGAGACAGGGTCTGGCTCTGTCATCCAGGCTGGAGTGTGGTGATGTGATCTTGGCTCACTGCAACCATGGCCTCCCTGGTTCAAGTGATCCTCCCACCTCAGCCTCCTGAGTAGCTGGGGACTACAGGTGTGCAACACCACACCCGGCTACTTTTTGTATTTTTTGTAGAGACCGGGTTTTGCCATGTTGGCCAGACTGGTCTCAAACTCCTGGACTCAAAGTGATCTACCCACCTTGGACTCCCAGAGTGCTGGGATGACAAGTGTGAGCCACTGCACCTGGCCACTTCTTTACCATAGTAGAAACAAAGACAGGCTGGTTGCAGTGGCTCACGCCTGTCATCCCAGCACTTTGGGAGGCCAAGGTAGGTCGATCACCTCAGGTCAGGAGTTCGAGACCAGTCTGACCAACATGGTGAAACCCCGTCTCTACTAAAAATGCAAAAATTAGCCAGGCATGGTGGCGCATGCCTGTAATCCCAGCTTTTTGGGAGGCTGAGGCAGGAGAGTCACTTGAATCTGTGACAGGGAGTTTGCAGTGAGCTGAGATCTTGCCATTGCACTCCAACCTGGGCAATGGGTGAAACTCCATCTCAAAAAAATAAAGTAAAAAATTAGCTGGGCGTGGTGGCACATGCCTGTGGTCCCAGCTACTTGGGAGGCTGAAGTGGAAGGATTGCTTGAGCCTGGGCGGCAGAGGTTGCAGTGAATAGAAATCATGCCACTGCACTTCAACTTGGGCAACAGAGTGAGATCAAAAAAAACAACAGAGTGTATCAAAAAAAACAAAAAAACAAACAAAAAACGAAAAAAGAGGAGATTTTCGGCTGGATGTGGTGGCTCATGCCTGTAATCCCAACACTGGGAGGTCAAGGGCAGGTGGATCACCTGAGGTTAGGAGTTAAAGACCAGCCTGGCCAACATGGTGAAACCCTGTCTCTACTAACAATACAAAAAAATTAGCCTGGCTTGGTGGTGCACACCTGTAATCCCAGCTCCTCAGGAGGCTGAGGCAGGAGAATCGCTTGAACCCGGCAGTGAGCAGAGATCACACCATTGCACTCCAGCCTGAGTGACAAGAGCGAAACTCTTGTCTCCAGAAAAAAAAAAAAAAATTTTCTCTTTCTTTGGGATGAAGATATGTACAGAATTTGGTGATTGAATTAGAAATCTTATATCCTGGAAAGATGAAGTAATGGAGGAAAAGTGCAGAGTGGCTCTGGTTTGGGACGCGGTGATTACATTTGATAGTACACCTATTGAGTTTGAGGTAGAAGCAGAATATCTAGGTGTGTACTGTAGGCAGCTCTACATGTAGCGGGAGATCAAGGTAGGAGGTATTTAATTTGCGTGGCATCTGTGTAGGGGGCAAAAACAAACCCTGTAATCTCTGTACTGTTTGGCTAAACGTTATTTAAAAATCATAAACATTGTTTTTTTAAAATCTGTAATAAAGATCTATAAGATCTTTTGTTGTGTTTCCTAATGATAGACTGATGGGCGAAAGCTGAAAGGAGAGTCAAGGTACCTGGCCTGTTCTTTGCTAGGTGAGCAAATCAAACTCTAGGTCAGTCCTTGGCAGAGCTCTAAGATCTGATTATTGCTGTGCAAGTTAACAAGCATTTATTGAAGGCTTACTCAGGCCTCTGTCTTACACTGAGCCCTATCATAAGGAATCACATCTGACTTACTGAGCAGTTTTATCCAGGTCAGTTAGCAAACTTGAGTTAATAATTGTAAATGGCAAAACCTGTTTCCCACCCAGGTGGCCTAAACCAGTGACCTTGGAATTGGCATTCATCATTACAACATAATTCTTTGGGCTGGACACATGAAATAGTGAACAGTGTTGGGGAACTCAGGGTAGTTGGTATGTTGCAGTTGTGGACCACCCACAGATTACTTTTCTGTAGTCATTATAGTGTATTGTACTGGTTTTAGTGTTGTTCTCACCTTCTGGACTGAACTATTCTAGATCAGAGACTTGTGTTTTTCATGCCCCTTTTCCAGGAGGTATTATGAAACTTTCGTGTTGATTGAATGAGGGAAGACCAGAGTTTCTTCAGTTTTGCGCTCAGGTAAATGAGTGGATCTTACAGCTCAGCCATCCTGCTGGGAAACACATGGCAACAGGTAGAGGCCACTTGGATAGGCAACTGTGGTGAGGGTAGTATAATTGAAGAGCAAAGGGGCACATCTCTAGGTGGAGAATCTTTGCCCTTATTAGCCACTGTTACTGGTAGGAGGTGTAAGAGGGTGCCTGATCTGTCATGCGGTCCAGAGTGGAAAAGAGGTTGAGAACCACTGATGATAATGGAAACATTTATTATGTTCTAAGCATTGGGCTATTGTATTTCCTGTACTTAATCCTTTCAGCAATCCTGTGAAGGAGATAAATATCCTTTTTTGAAAAGTGAGAAACTGAGCCTTTGTTACCAGGTAATACCTGGTTTTTGAAATCAGTCTTTGATTCCAGTGTCCATGTTCAGATCTATTTCTGCTTGCCTAGGCAAGATAAACCAGACAAAACTATGCCACCAAGTGGCACATTACAGGGCCAAAGAATTGTTTTGCCATGATTTTGCTTGAAATTTAGAGATCGTAAACTTTAATAATAATGAGATGAATACAAATGTTGACCATTCTCCTATAATTGCAGGAGTACTTCCCCCCAGCTCCCAAAAGCAGTAATGGTAAAGTCCATTTTTCTTCAGCTCTGTTTTTTATTACATATGGTGTTCTAAGTGGTAATGTGGATGGAAACTTATCTCTGTAGAGACAGAATGACTCAATATAAAGTGATCCTATTGCCAGTTCATTCTACCCTACCACTGGGCCCTTTTTTTTTTTTTTTTTTTTTTAAATGGCCCTTTGGCCATAATGGAACAGAGTTTAAGATCAAATTGGCAGGATGCTTTCACCAGTGAACTAGTGAAGTAAAGAATATCACAGGCTGTGATGCCAGTAGTGTTGGAGTGAGGGGAACTCCTTATCATGCCAGGTACTTTTTCTCTCATAATTACTCCCTTTTAAGAGCAATCGCTTTTACACTTTTTTCTTTTTATTTATTGAGACAGGGTTTTGCTCCTGTTGCCCAGGCTGGAGTGCAGTGGGCACTATCTAGGCTCATTGCAACCTCTGCCTCCCCGGCTCCAGCAATTCTTCTGCCTTAGCCTCCCTTTGCTGGAACCACAGGCGCACGCCACAACGCCTAGATCATCATTGTATTTTTTGTAAAGATGGAGTTTCACCATGGTCAGGCTGGTCTCAAACTCCCTTTTTTTTTTTTTTTTTTTTTTTTTTTTTGAGATAGAGTCTCGCTCTGTAGTCTAGGCTAGAGTGCAGTGGTGCGATCTCAGCTCACTGCAACCCTCCTGGGTTCAAGTGATTCTCCTGCCTCAGTCTCCCCAGTAGCTGGGACTACAAGTGTGCACCACCATGCCTGGCTAATTTTGTATTTTTAGTAGAGACGAGCTTTCACCATGTTGGCCAGGCTAGTTTCAAACTCCTGACCTCAGGTGATCTGCCCGCCTCAGCCTCCCAAAGTGCT